TCCTGGACTATTCTAGCATCCTTGGGGCTGGCCCGCACCTCAGTGTCTACGTACTTCATCAGCCCAGTGCTGTGAACATCACTCCTAATTACCCCGTCCCTGAAATATTTAAGTGCACATCCAAGCCTCCAATTCAATCTCCTGTTTTTATAACTTTCTCACTTCCTCTGTCCACGAGACCTTCTCTTCCTTGATAGAAACCTTTCTCCGAGTCAGTTAACCACCCGATTCTCAAGACTGCCACGCTGGGAATCCATGATGAATTGGCTGAAACATTCTTTTATAGGTTCCCTTATGTAACCTCCCTTCTCTCATGTCCTTCCAAGTCCCTGCCCTGAAAATCTCCATCAGGCACACTCCCATAATTTGGCTTCTCTGCCCCTTCGCCTAAGGGCACCAGGACACACTGATGGTGGGAAGTGCTCACTGGACAGCCAGTGGAGTGTGGAGAAGCCCCCTCTGCCATTTTGATTCGTCTCTTCATTTGTTTCTCCAAACCTTCACTACTGTTCTCGTACTTCCCATCCAGCCTCCTTAGCATCACTGTTAGTAGGTGACCTTACAGCAAGAGAATCTTCAAAGGATCCCTTTCGCCATCCCAAATCCCAGCTCCCACCACACACACACACACACACACACACACACCTCTAATTGTCTCTTTCTCATCCCCAAGTCCTGTCCAACACTTTCAGAAGAAGGAGAGCTCTTCCTCCAGTTCCAAATTTAACTTGCTACATCAAGTATGCCCTGTTTTCTATATTTTCAACCTCTTCTCCTCTACTGGTTCCCTCCTTGGATCCCAAAAACTTACTTAAATTTCCTCCATCTTCAAAACAAACAATAAGCAAATAACTTCAGTCCGCATCTTCTTCCAAGAATAGCCCCTTTTCCCTTCCATTTTTAGCTGATCTGTACTTGTTATCCCTGCTTATTTCTCTTTTATTACAATTATTAATTTTTTTTATTTTCATATTAAAGAGTATTAAATGCCCATCAAAGGAATATATCAGGCAATATATAAAAACAGCAGAAAATTTTTAATTTCTAATAATGTCTCCACCCATTTACTGTTATATTTCCTATTTATTTGTGCATTAATTTTTAATTTTTAATAATGTCTCCACCCATTTACTGTTATATTTCCTATTTATTTGTGCATTAATTTTTTTCTACTTCACTGTATATTGCCAGTAATTAAGGATCTCTTTGAAAATCCATAATACCATTACCATACTTGAAAAGAAGTTAGCAAAACTTCTTTTTTTATTTTTTTATTATGTTAATCACCATACATTACATCATTAGTTTTTGATGTA